GATTGAATGTATACGCTTATTTGATTTAATCCTAGCCATATTCATTTATTCGATCCCAACTTCAGTATACATTCTAAGCCGATTCGTGAAGAGTTTATTCAAAACTCAATTGCTTTCTTTCTTCTTTCGGAAGTTCCCCATAATTTTTCGTTTGAGGATGAAGAAGTGAAAACAGAAAATCTTCTTTCCACTAATGAAATGATAATTGAACGTCCCATTGAAGTTAAAGTTATTTTTCAACTGCAGAACTATTCAACGAACTCATTGTAGTANTGATCTACTTTTTGATTAGTTCAACTTTCATTCATTATAACTCAGTTAAGAGAAGTTTAAAAAATTTAAGAAAAAACCATATACTTTTTGAACGGTTTTGTATTCATTGTGTATAAGAAAGGTAAATAATTGTTGGTAATGTTGGCAAAATCTTTTTCAAAATGATAACAATATATCACATTTACCCCAGGGGCTGGGGCAAATGTAACGACAGTTTACATTTTTGTAATGAATGGTATATTCCGTAGCCTGGGGCAATAGTATAGAAAATAAGCTTTTTTATATGTGTTTTTATGATATATTTTGTTGAAAAAAATACAAAACATGTGAACGTTCAGAAAACAATGTCAGAACAAAGGAAACAAAACGCGTATAAAATTGAACACAATACATTCTCAGACGCCTTGGAGTCAATGTTGTATATTAAAGTTTTCAAAGGAAACTGGAAATTCGTACATTCCATATTTATCAACGATAGGATCAGGTAGCACTTCCATGATATCCTGTTGACATACAGTATCAATGTCGTCATTTATTGCCCAGAAAAATTTGTTTTTTTCAGGTCGTGTGAATTTAACTATCCATCCATCATCCGTATGTTCTGATACAAGTCCCACATAATGCTTCTATATCTTTTTTGGGCAATATATTACCAATACCCAACATCCGACAGATACATTCACAATTCCTGTTGAACCTAAATTATCTTTGTTTCCTTCTCTATCATTTGCATCTTCTTCCACATCTGGTTCTGTTTCCAAAAGTGAATCCAGAAACTCATCTTCATCTTCGCTGCTACTAAATGATACTGACTTTTTTCTGTTTCGTTTTCCGGGCTTCACCTCAGTTATCGTATTGATTTTTGTAATATTTCTTTTTGTTGGGATTTTTATTTCAAAACATCAATGGCTTAATGGCTTGTTGTGATGTCAATACTTCAGATCCAAGACATAACCTTTTTTAGTTTTAGTTGATGTGTTTGGAACTTGTTTTACCGTAGATAATAATAAATCTTCAAAGGTGATGGCCTCCTTTTTAGTTAGACTTGTACCTGATGAACATGAAATTGATTCGGTTTCATCAAATCTGGCAGCGCTATTTTTTTATTTGTCGGGAGTGGCAGTTTCGATTACAGCGGCAGCCGTAGATTCTCTGTTTTGAGAAGATATTCCTTGAGTTTCGGGGGTTGCTTCAGTGAGTACTATTTCTTCATTACCGTTTTCATATATCGGTAAGCTGGGATGTTCTATTATCTTCCATCTGCTAAGCAAGCCTGGTGGAAAAGATGTTTCAGGGATTACGTCACGATTAAAAGGAACAATTCCGCCTTTTTTAAAACCGTTGATAATTACTTCTGAGTTCACCTGTTTTCATGTTGTACACAAAAATTGGGAAAATATTTGTTTTGGTAATTTTTAACCTACATGCTGCCGGTTGGAGGCCTCAAAATCATTATTAATAAGAATCCATCATATGTGGAAGGAAATTATGGTGAAGTTAGGTATCATCAGCGTGAATTGCGAATATTGCAGGCTTTTATTCCAATCGACAGCAGAAACAAAAGAGGCTCCAGTATAGATCCCTGCGGGGTACCTGACTTTGGTGTTAGATATTCAGAGCATTTATCTTCGAGAACAACTTTCTACTGCCTATTCTTGAGATAATTGCCTATTAACACTCGTGAATTTTGTGAAAAACCTATATAATATAACATGTTTAGTAAAAAATCGTAATGAATTGTGTCGAAAGTACGACTAAAATCGAGTAAAACTAGCAGTGTTGCATTGACCTTGATCAGTAGCTCTTAAGATATCATCGGTGATGTGGAGAAGTGATTTCTTATAGCTATAACCTCCTACGGAACCCGGATTGAATTGATGGTACCTAATGAAGAGTGACTGCTTAAATGAGAGTTGATCTGTGTTTCCATTGCCTTCTCTAGAACTTTCGGCAAACTTGACAATATACTTATTGTTCTAACATCTTTAAACTCATTTGCTTTTTTCTGCTTGGATGAAACTTTAACTAGAGCATTTTTCCACATTGCTGGCCACTATTTGTCAAATAAACCGAAATTCACTACTTGAGTAATGTACGGTACTATATGTGGACAGCACAGTTGAATGGGTTCCACAGTGAGTCCATCGCATTCCTTTGCATTAGTTTTGATCTCAGAAATTGTTTCGTGAACAAAGAAGTCAATAACCTCTTCGAATTGAAATATGGGGATATTCAGAGTCTGTGATTCGTGAAAATTCATAACATCTTGATGGGGTTGGCCCAGTGGGATGGAGTCAATGAAAAACTTGCACAAACGGAATAATTATGCCAAAAAATTATTATTTCATGGACTACTAATTTTACCACTCAGTTTCGCTTCTGATTTGTTGGGAAATTCCCTAGTATTTCCCTCATGCCTAGATTTTAAATCCATCAACAGCTCATCACTTGGAGTGTCGTTAGGCATGTTTCCATCAAAGCTTCGAAAATTGTTGGCAAGTGTTATTGAAAAAATTGGCCTATAATAACTCACTTAATTTTTTTTCTACCCTTGTGTATTGTTTTGAACTTTTCCAGCTCATTCTCAGGTGATCACCGTTTTGGAGACATGGCAGAATGGTTCTGCAATATATTCAATCGATAATTTGATGGTATCATTTTTTATTTCATTCAAGTCAAGATATCTGTTGCTTTTCAATGTGAAAATTCTATTTTCCAATTCTATTTTCATGATGAATTTCATTAGTTTGGGTTCTCATTGTCTGATATTATATAAAATGATTTGAAATACCTGTAAGAACTAATAAACTAGAAGGATTGAGAACCCTGAAATAAAATAACAGTGAAATAAAATACAAGTGAAAATAGAACAATTGAACAAAAAATTTAATGAAAAAAAATAAAAAATTAAGAGATTCCTAGCCAAGTTACTTCACGACGTTTCGATTATTAGTATCCACAATCGTCTTCGGGTGATGACTAGACTAATTCCGAAAGATGACTATTTATGTCATCTTTCGGACTTTCACTTATCTCCGCTTTCCTTTTTCTACTTCACCGGTTTGGCGAGAGATGACTGTTTGGCAGGAGTTGGCCATAAAACAAAAAAACACCAAGTCTTTTTCAGGAAAAGGAGAGATCATCTACAGCAAGCCGCCTCACTTTTATGGACTACCCAAAATCCACAAGAAGGACGTTTCGCTCAGACCGATCATCAGCTCCAGAGATTCGGCTACTCAAAAACTTGTCTAGATTTTTATTTTCCATAGTACAACCTGCACAAGGAAAACCACTAGGGGCAATTGAAGTCACACAGTAAGATTAACTAATCAGTCTCGACGTGGAAAGCCTTTACACCAACGGTTCGGTCTGAGAAGCACACCAAATCATACAGAGGAAGCTATCCGAAGACGGGGATCTGGAAGATAAAACAAACTCACCTATAGAAGTAATTATGGAATTACTAGGATGCTGTGTTCGAAACTGTTATTTCCAACTGAAGGACGAATTCTTTACTCAAGATGTGGGACTGTCAATGGGATCGCCACTTTCACCAATCATAGCCAACATATATATACTCTGGTCATTGAAGAAGCCCACAAGAAACCTCGTATCTGGTTGAGATACGTTAACGACACCTTTAAAATATGGAACCATTTCACAATGGAGAAGTCCACAACGAATTGCCATTCTTAGACGTATTGATGAAGAGAATCAACACTTGGTTGAAAACATCTGTATAGCGAAAACACACTCACTCGGGAAGAAAACCACAAATCCAACCACCATCAATCGAATGAAAGAGAAATCATCAAGACACTATTAGACCGTGCTTTCGGACTCTGTAATACGAAGAAAGGTCTCGAGAAGTAACTAGACATCATCAAAAATGATCTTTAACGAAATGGCTACTTCAAAGCGATGGTGAAACAGACTTTGGCTGAAAGACAGCAGAAGCCTCGCAAGGTAGAGAAGCCGTTACAACCACTGCTTGCATTTCCCTACATCAGAGGATTACCGAAAAGGATAAGAATAATTGGGTCCAAGTACAACATCAGAACCTGCTTCAGATCCGGAAACACTATCCGTAGACGCCTCACGAAAACCAGGCCATCAAACGCGGACTGCGATTCCAAGAATTGCATTCACCAGATACCCTGTGAGTGCGAAAATTCCTATATCGGTGAAACTACGAGGCTATTGAAAGTTCGCATTGCCGAGAACAAGAAACACACACAGCGAGGGGAAACGAGCAAATCAGGAATACCAAATCATGTGAGTGATCCCAAGCTGAGATCATACACAGGGAGGAACATTGGTTCAGGAGGAAATTCAAAAAAACCATACATCTTGTCCAACAACGTATTCAGCCAAGCTAGCGTAGACATACGCAACATATGAAAACCCATAATCAAGCGGAAAATGGCCAATTCCCGCCAAACGGTCATATCCCGCTAAACCGGTGAAGCGGAAAAAGGAGTGCGGAGGTAAGTGAAGTAACTTGGCTTGGAATCTCAATTTTTATTTTTCTCTATTTTTATTTTTTATTCAAATGTTCTATTTTCACTTGTATTATGATATCTGTCTGTTGAAAAATCTGTTGGAAAATCTTTTGGAAAATCTGTTTTTCCGTTAACCAGTTATCGCTGGCATATATTTCCTTTTTATCGTGTTATATGTAAGGAGTGAGAAGTCTGTAAAATGACACTCACTAGAAAAATCCTTTGAATTTTCAGTATTGTATTAAAGTGACTTTGACGCTCCAACATCATATTTTTTATTTACAATTTTGAATGACTATACAATAACTAACTATACAATGAGGAAGTTGATTTAACGTTGTAACAATCCCTTCAATTCTTGAGGTATACTTTGTTTGTAATGAAGTTTGTTGAATGTTAGGTTATTTAATCAGGTTGAATTTGCAATCCTGATATGCAGAGAACAATTTTAATGAATTTTTTCCATCATATCAATTATAAGTGATGAAGAGTTTCTCATCACTCAAAAAAAAATACTTATATTTTGCAGAAATTGGAAATCCACGTCAATTTGGATTATCAATAGTAAAAGTTGTTAATATTTTCAAATATATATCTTTGAGGGGTTACTTTTAGAATACGTAAATTGATTTCTTTCGGAGTCACGGTCCTTCTGTAAAACTTATGGAATCTTGAACTCAGTATGTAGATGCTTCCATCTTCTTTCCATCTGATATCTGGCACGAACTGGAGGTTCACTGGATCATTTGCTAGAATTCTGTGGATAGAAAGAACAACATTTATATAACTCAACAACTAGTAACGAAAAATATATTTTTGAAACTGATAATTTAGTCTGCATAATTGATTGGAACCAAAAAATACATGAATTATTCTATTGAAAACGCTTTTCCCTCACCAGAAAAAATTGCTCTCTCTCGACGCGCGTTTCGTGTACCAAATTAACATCATCAAGGGATGACTAAGACTACTCCTACGAGCTATGCCAATGTTTCCACATACATCTACACGGAGCATTATCTCATTATGAGAGGTAATGTCAATAAATGATTCCCAGTATTTTGTTATTATTCTATTGTTATTCAGTACCACATTAATACCAGTTTTATACCTGAGATGACTGAAACTATTCCTTACAAGCTATGTTGATGTTTTCATATGCATCTACACGAATCAATACCTTGCATAATGATGGCCAATTATTTGATTCTTAGTCATTTCCTTATGATGCTTACTTGGTTAGCCAAACCACCGTTGAAATAGAGCAAATTTGTTTTGTTGAGAAGAAAAATATGTATTCCACGCCAAAGGTTCCGAATTGCACTCATCAATATGAATAACCCCAACGAAAAGTTATAGTTAATTATTCCATATAAACATCAAACCTTCTAATAATTAAATATCAAGGAATGTCTTACTTCTGTTGATTTGAAACGATATTCCAAGAAGCCACTGAAGTTTCAGTCATAGGACTGAAGTAAAGGGTATTGTCATCCTCATTCATAGCTAGAGGCATGCCTTGGGAGGATTTTCTTCCAGCTACTGATATGGGTAACTCTTCAAACTCGCCTGGAGGCCCTTTGGTCAAAGTGGCAGTTGGGATGCTGAATATCCTGGAAATCCAACAAGGCATTATCTATATGTCATTTAAGATGTTTCGACATTTTGTCATAAGAATTTTTCATCATCGGAAAGGAGTTTTAGTCGCTGAATATGTATGGAACTATAATTGGGTGAAAATAATGCTTCACAATTTACACAACACTAACATTCATTGCTAACAGCTGTTTCGACACACTGCTTCATCTTCTGATTGAGTTATAAACTAACCTAGGTATGGGAAAAAAGTTTTTGACCCTCTACTACTCCATCTTGATACAAAAAAATGTGGAAATTTTTCAAAGAAAGAAAGGGAGCCATCAATTTCAAAACAAATATATCTATGCAGATATTTGTAGGTCATACAAAGAAGCAATTTTCAAAAACAAACTGGAAGAGAAAGCCCCCTTTGAACAGCTTTTTTTGGTCCCGACTTGTCCATTCAGTCCTAGTCTCCAAAAAACACTGCAGCCTCTTGGGCTTATTGCGTGTATTCTCCCATCTTCCATCAGTCTCGTTCCCTGTACTAGTTTGTACAGGTCCCGTGTTGGATGTTCGTCATATTCTTCTGGACGTTATTTCGTACGTCCATATATTGCCTGCCTCCTGTGATTCAGTGCCTCACATTCGCATAAGATGCGTAGAGCTGTTTCTATCCCTTCATTGCATAATCTGCAGCTGAGGTATCCGTTGTACAGCCCCATTTTATTCAGCGGACAATGGCCGGTTAGTAACCCTGTAATTATTTTGAGCCGATCCCTACTATATTGAAGAAGTTCTTCGGTTCTTTTCTCGAACGGTTCCCTGATGAAGGTTCTACTGTGTTTGTTGCCAGGTACTTTTGTCCAGTACTCTGTGTGCTTCTTATTGATCCATGTCTTAATCTGGTTTCGTAGCAATGATTTTGTTACCCCCAGAGATGGTTCAGGACCTATATATGAAGTTGATTATCCGTGTCTAGCGCATTCATCGGCTTTATCATCACCTGTGATTCCTGAGTGCCCTGGCACCCAGTACAAAGGTACTTTGATCCTTTTTGCAAGTTCATTCAGTTCTTCATGGCATTCCTAGACCAGTTTTGATGTCACCTTCGGGTTTGTCAGAGCCCCTAGTGCACTCTTGCTGTCTGTTAAAATATTGATCCGCTCATTACTTTGAGGTCTCAATTTTCCTTAAGTACTAAAAGTGGCATTAGTAGAGAGAGGTAGAGAGAGGTATTAAGGGGCATTTGGGAAATTACTTTACTGAAAACATTATTGATGATCGGAGAATTATGAATATCTATCTGATCCTTTAGAACAATATTGTTTTTATTCAAAGATTTTTTTTGATTTTTAGATTCCAATATATCAAATTTCAGACTCCTTGGTTGAAGGTGTAGAATTTACGGATTTTGTGTGTAATTGTGAGAGTTTTCTATGAGATGATTGGCGTAGTTTGGATCTTGTTTATTCAATCTGTAACTTCTCAAATGCTCCTCGAATCTCTGGTTGAAACTGCGGCAAATCTGACTTATATATAAAGCATTGAAGTCGTAACATTTGTAGACCCCGGATTTTTTGAATTTGTCCTGTGCTGACTTAGAATCATTTATGAATAAATGCAAATTGTCATTTGTCCTGAATGCTACTTTCATGCCTTTTTTTCTGAAGGAAACTAGATATTTTGTTTGAAGAATAACTGATTTATGTTAGAAATATTTTATGGAATATTTTCATGGAAGATCACGAGGTGGTAATCGTGACATGACGATTTGAAACCGAGGATTTCGAACATTTTTTTTAAAGATAGGATACTTCAAAGAAACGTAAAGTAATGTTTTACTGGTTTGTATGTGTTGGAGTGAACGAGGATAAGCTACTCTGGTACAGCCCAATGAAAAATATATTGTAATAGTTCTAAATTCCGTACCTGTCGGTAGCCAAAGGTTGGTAGAAAAGTATTGCAAGCTTTGGGGAATGTGCAAGACCAATTATTCCATCCATCAGCGAAAACTGCTCTCCAACGATGCTTATTTTTGAGTAGTCAGGGTTAGGAAACATGGAGGGGTCGGAAAATCTCCATGATCTATCCCTTGCTCCATCATAAACTATCAATCCTAAAAAAATTAATTATCAGTCATAGTCATCATCCACACAACGAAAATAGAGGAAAAGGGAGAAATCGCGAAATAACTTCTTTGTACAATTAATCGATTAATAACATGTTTTTCTCTGCAGAACAAAAGAACTGTCTCCCGACACGTATTTCGGATAAGGTAATATTTTTATATGCACCTAGATGATTCATTACCTCAAATACTGAAAGTCATTGAATCATTTCGTAGTAAACAGAATTCTTAGTGTTTTGTTATTGTTCCTTATGTTATTTGCTACCTGATTGACACCCAATCTTCATCTGTGTGGTATCTGGAATTACGTAAGAGTTCAAACATGACACCTCCCGACAATTTTGAGCATCCTTCATAATTTTGTGGCATGATAAGCAATACTGTATTTCTCTGGTATGTTCAACATATTCCTTGTAGAAAGATACTATAGTCCGCTTAGTTTGAACAACCTGCGCTCTAGCGAAACAGGACCTCATTACATCGGAAGTAACAGAACTCATCAGAATACCAGAAGATATCAACGAAAGGAATATGCACACAACTGGAGGAATCCTACGGCGAAAGCTGCGTGCAATTCGAGACCGACAATGGAGACCCATCTGGAAGAACTCAACATCGAAGACCAATCTGCATGGAAAATGCAGGAAGTTCTTAGAAAGGGAGACCGAAAACCATGCTCGCCCATACACGGCGAGCAAGGAATCGTCTACACAGACCAAGAGAAAGCGGAAGCATTTGGTGACAATGTCGAAAGACAGTGTAGAGAAAATGGTGTCTCGTTCACGGACGAAGTAGAAGATATCGAAATCCAGGTCGAAGAGACGGTAAGAAGGATAAGATGGCAACGGAGGGACAACGCGCAACTCCTGACACCGACATCTCCCGAGGAAGCGAAAGGTATCGTAAGGTGCCTAGCCACTCGGAAAGCCCCAGGTCCGGACCAAATTTCAAACCGGGCACTATGAAAGCCCTATCAAGGAAGGGAATAGCGGCGATGGCGAAAAGCATTAACGCTATACTGACTACAGCATTTCCCATACCCGTAGAAGGCAACGGTCATTTACATCCCGAAACCAAAGAAGAACCACATATTTCTGGCCAATAAGCTTAACCCCTTCCATGAGCAAAGTAGCAGAATGAGTCACCTTAAAAAGGACTAGAGAACCAGACCAGCGAACTGACAATCTTATCAGATGAACGGTTCGGTTTCAGATCCGAGCACTGGAGACAAAACTACAAGTCCTAAGGGTAGTAGACTATGCGACACAAGGTTTCAACCTCGGCAAAGGATACCATACCGGAGCGATATTTCTAGACGTCTCCAAGGCGTTCGATAGAGTTTATCACGATGGACTATTAGGCAAAATGAGCAATTTTGGCTACTCGAAACGAATGGTATAAGCAATCAAATATTTTCTAGCTAACAGGCGATGCCGCTGCAAAGTAGGACAAGCACTCTTCACCATGCAATTACTGGGAGCAGGGGTCCTACAAGGTGCAGCCCTTTCGCCACACCTCTTCTTGGTATACACAGCAGACGTGTCAAAGCCATAGAACTACTTCAAAAGTTGACACTCTACGCGGACGACAGAGCTATGCTGGCGAGATCAACAAGCCAAGCGCATGTCATCAAATATTTGCAACAGTAGGAGAATAGACTAGAGAAATGGACCAACCTTTGGAAAATCAGTATAAAACCTGACAAATGTCAGGCGATACTGTTCACTCAGAGGCTGGTACACCCGAAAGGAAACGTCACCTTCAACGGACAAGAGATCCGTGGACCAACCAAGCGAAATACCTGGGAGTCACCCTCGACAGAAGACTAACGTTCAGGACACACGTCCTGATCCGCTGAGAAAAACTTGTTCGCGATTCAAAGAGAGTCGTCTCCGGTTAGTTTTTGGGGGCCACATGCAATAATTACATTCGAGTAAAGTCAAGATTTGATAAAATAGTAGATTTGAAAGTGGAAGCACCTAAAAGCTGTCTTTTGACTGCAGTAGGTCAGTATTGTTGAATTGCCTATCAGTAGGTTGAGGTCCACTCATAAGAGTAGGGATAGATGGACGAGATGGGTTGTTCAGCACACGGTAGGCAACATTAGATGATATCATATATACTATCTACGTGGTAACTATCCAAAAACACTTCAGTGTGATATTCTCACTTAACGGTTCCACAAAAATGTAACACATGTTTCGCTATACAGCAGCTTCTTCAGACGTGTCTATACTAACTCACAATGGGGTGTTTTTGAGTGAATACAAGGAATTATTGGCGATAGCCGATTGGATTAGTTATAAATAATTCAGAAATTATACATCTGGTGCGATACAACGTGTGGAACAGTATATCTTGATTTCGTTTTACAGGAAATAAAAACTCGAAATCAACTTGGGATACTTTGAGGACTCTTGATATCCCGAGGAATAATAAAAATATAGATATCCCTGATGAATTGACTGACGTCAATCTTATCAACTTGCACTTCAATTTTATACCTCAACCTATCAGATCTGCTCACCAACTGTCCTTATTAGATCATTATGTTAATTTTTAAGAATTCGAATATTCTTTTCTCTTCACCACAGTCACCATTGAGATGCTTCAAAGCTCCCTAAGATGCATCAAAAGCAATGTTTTAGGTACAGACCAAATATGCCTCAAAATTATCAATCTTATTGACTCATTTTTGATAAATTACTTCACTTTTCTCATAAATTCCATCATAACCAGTTGCCAAGTTCCAAAATTTTGGAAAGATGGATTGGTTATCCTTCTGGCTGAGTGTAACTCACTTACAACCCTGACCTGTGCCAATTGCATTTCTCTCGTTTCTCTCTGAAATAGTGGAACTGATATTGAGAGATTAGATTGACGAATATGTTAATGAAAATCATATTACAACATCTGTTCAATCAGGATTCAGATCACAGCATAGTACCACCACGGCTTTTCAGTGAATAACCGACGATCTTTCTAAAGATGTAGATGATGCTGTTCAGTACTTCTGATTGATAGTAATGCATTTGACGCTATTGATCACGAGATTTGGTGTGACAAACTTGTCTACTTTGGGTTTTTTCGGAAAGCAGTGTCAAATCATACTCAAAAAATTATTGTGAATGGAGTTATATTGGATGCTCAACCGGTATCAATGGAAGTGCTACAAGGATCTATACTTGGGCCATTTCTTTCAGCTCATACATCTGCGATTTCCATCAGTTTGTTTAAAAAAATGCAATATACATCACATTGTCGACGACACGCAATTATATTTCTATTTTTCGCCTCGTGATTCTACCTCCACCTCTCTCACCAACTCCACTTTTCAAGTACGCATTGAAAATGAAATAGTTCCCTCCGTAACCGAGATGGAAAACTTAAGATTGTAGTTTGATCCAGAAATTCGCAACGCGACGCCACTGCATCGACTCACCAACAAACATATAGTTTTGATATGTCGTTACCCTGATTACTCACTGAGGAGGCTCAGAGCTTTCTCAACAATAAATAGTTTTACCACAAGGAACAATTCAGTTTTAGTCATCCCCGAACACAAATCTTCCATCTTCATCCGCTGCTTCACGTATAATCCACCTAACCATTGCAATCCACTGCCCCCTGAGTTGAAATGTCATAAAATGAAAAACTTTTAAAAAAAGACTAAAGACCCACTTAACTGTCTAATCTCTGGTCCGTACCCAACCTCGGCATTACAGTAAGGAATTTTCTACAGCGATTACATACCTCTTATGATCTTGTCGTGGTAGTATCAATGTTAACTCGACTTCTTTGTTATTATTTGATTATTGTCATTTCCAGGTTGAGTTGAAAAACAGCCTTGGCTGCTACTCCGCCTATTCACCTGTATACAAAAAATTGTTTTCTTTTTCCTCTTTTTGTATGTTTTACTTGTACTTTTATGGTGAATAAAGACGTATTATTATTATTATTATTTACCGCAGTATACGCTGGTCAGGCCCTATCCCCCGAAGCCCCGATACATTCGGGAGGGGTCGCCAGCATTATCAACCAACAACCACTCCCCACACCGTGGGGTGAGTGATCATTGGGTTCGAGAATCGTGTACCCTGAGCAAGCGCAGTGAGCCAAGAATAACAGCCTTCTGCATCTGTCCAGCTAAGATTTCTGCTCCACGACAAATATCGTTCTACTCTGATGGTCGAGAAGGACTACATCAGGCTTATTAACTTGTGTAAGCTTGAGAGTGGGGAACGAAAAGTTTCAATAAATTCGGCACTTGTCGTTCCCCACAACGAATTCCATATCCCCCGGAGCGTAGGGCAACACCGGTGTATAGTCAATACCGAAAAAGTGATGTAGATGGTGATAAAGCACTCTTAGGATCGCATTATATCGATAGATATAGGCCAAGACCGCATATGCTGGACATGCTGATAGCAAGTGCATTAGGGTCTAGAGCGCCTTGTGGCAGGCCGTGCGCCTTGTGTCAGGAACCTCTATACCCATCATGTGACTGCGGTAGACTAAGGTGTTCAAGACACCTGGTAAGCCATGATGAACTATGAACCCGTCAGTTTCCGATTTCAGCCCACTCGACCTGAGGAAAGCGAAAGTCAGGCGCTTTGATAAGTCAAGGTCTCCAATGTTATTGAGAAAGACCCCATGCATTGACCCATCCTCGTGTTTCCGCAGAAGCAAGGTGATCTCTGCGGCTTTTATATGAGCTTTTTGCTGAACGCTTCCAACTCGTTGACAGAGTTGTGGTCACCTCGTTCAGTGTCGAAAACTAAACCGAGTTCATCAACTCGGTTAGGGCAGCTGATTAGGGCAGCCCTAATCAGAACATTTCTGATTAGGGCAGCTGCCCTAATCAGAAATGTTCCATTTCCTTCTCTCTCATTATCACGGACCACGCAGAGAAGGGGATCCGAACTCCTGGCGACTTTACAGGCTATATCTAGAACCATTCTGTCATGTAGACACTCCACATTCAAAAGTCTACGGCCTCCCTGTTGTCGGGCGGAATACAGCAGTGAAACGGACGATTTGCTTCCATCTACGAGCTGCACATCCTCTCCGTAGTCTTCGTATCGTCCTCTTTTGAGAAGGATTTGTCTATCCCGAATTTCATACCGATAGCATGCGTGTACTCTTCCACCAAGCTCAAAGACTGATGGAGATCCTTCTCTCCAGAGACATAAATTTTAAGATCATCCATATAAAACAAATGAGTGACCTGCCTCCGGTTGGCGGTATTGCCACACCGGCAAGTATGTCTGAGCGCAACAGATAATGGCAATAGTGAGATGCAGAAGAGAAGGGGACTGAGGGAATCGTTCTGAAATACACTCCTTCTGAAAGTGACCCACCCTGTTTGGTCTCTGGCTTGGCCAGATGTTAAGGGAAAGCGTGTTCGCCGGAGTGGTATCAGTTGTTCAATGCATCTCACTATTTTGTCGGGTACCGCAAGGCATCATTATTATTATTATTACTATTATACCATCAAGTAATGGCCGATTCCATCACAAACATACATCGTATCTCATTCACAGTAACTATTATGTCAAGTCTTCAAATAGTTTTATGATTATTCTGCCATTCCAGGCGGAGACAAATCCAACAAATCAAAAATGCAAATCGGTCTAGACATTATCGATGTGAAACGTGTAGCTTTTGCAATTTCCGTTCGTGTATTAGAAATATATTTTCCTTAATTTTTCCAATATTCTATTAGTTATTTTGCTATTCCGCATGATGACAAATGCAACAAATCAATAATCATGAAAATTGATCCAGTTATAAATGAATAGCGTTACTAACCTGATTTTTTGACGTTGCTTTATGTATTAGAAATATCAGTGGGGTTCGTTATTGGATATATTGGTTTACACCTGACTTTTTCCAATGAAGTACTAATGCACACTTATTATTTGGGAGTAGCGGAGGTGAGGTAACAAATTTATTTGTGGAATAACAATTGTGAGAGGAACCGTTGAGAATTTTTCAAAGGGCACTATAATTGTTGCTGGTCAGTTTTTCAATAACATAAAAAGGAGAAAATTAACATTGCTGAACCTATGGTGAGACTGTTCACATTAGCAAGTCAGCCACCATTCAAAATTTATCTAGGCCTGGAACAACAACCGTGACCCATGAGTAGCATTGAAATAACCGAAAAAAAACCATACCTGCTGCAACAGTATCGCTGATATAAATGAATGCTGCATCACATTTTCCTTGGACGCTCTCATCCAAGATCAAGTTAGTCAGGGCGGAGACTGGTCTCAGGACTTCTTCGGGAATGATAATAGTACGAACTATTTGGTTCGATCTCAGATCGAATATCAATATCTTCGGTGGACATGCCGTTCTGAAGTTGTCAATCGATGTGTCCAAACCGGAATCGAGAACCTACAATGCATTTCGAACAATTTACCTCTTCTGTATATGAAACCGGTATGGTGGACCGACTGGCAAGTACTTTCGACTACCTTGATGAATATTACATTAGTCTGTTACTTGTTGAGTCTAAACAACTTTCGATTTTCTTTAAATTGCTATCAAAACTTTTTATACAGGGTGTTTTACTGTGTGTCTAGAATTTCACAGAACAATTCCTAAGGTACATTTTGAATTTGAAGAATATTTACTTCCATTCCTGTTATTTTCAGATACTTTTCGAAAATATGTCTTTGAAATTTGTATTATGTTTCATAGCAGAAAAATAATTATTAATGTATATACAAAATATAGTGATATGCGCCTTTGTTGATGTCTACGTCAATTGAGACGTTAGGAATGAAAACCTGTATACCATGACCGGTCATTATTTGATAAACGGAATACTATATGAAACATTGAATAAAAATCACAACAAATATTGGAAATGTTTACCTCCTGCTTGAATGCATGCATTCAGTCTACTTTCCATTGAGTAGCACACTTTTGGAAAAATTACTAATATATTTCGAATCATTCTATGAGCATATATAATTCCTCCACTTCTGTTCACTTTGAATATTTGTGTTTGGTAAACTAAATTTTTTAGATGTTAACAAATCACATAATCTAAGATGACTATAGTCACTATACTCATTGATGTATCCAACGTTTATGGGACGTCAACTTTCTAAAAGTTTCTCTCAATTCTGCAGATCAAAATCTGGAAAAGAAGGGATAGTTGAGTTCACCTTTCTTGAGCTACCAGTCCAGTTCGCACCAGTTGTTCGGATAGGTGGTGACGGAAGTCTCCAAGAACCTCAGATGGTTTTCTCTGTTTAACACTTGATTATCATTATTTTATTCACAATTATTTCCCCACCAAAAAGTTTGTGCAGGTACAACAAAGTGGTCTGAATAGAGTCTGCAGAGTACGAAGAGAAAATATAGATATTTATCCTTTTTTTATACGATAATTGCCGCATCAAGAGCTCTGATGGTCCAGAAGAACTAAATCAGGAATTCAACTCGGTTTCATCTCAGTGATGAAGTTCTGGTCAGCTCATTCATTGTCGAAAACCAAACCAAATTCATTCGACGCTCAAGCAGTTGCTCGAACAGCCGATGCTCCGAGCAGCTGCAAGAAATGCTCTCACACATATTTTTTCATGGTCACGAATCATGCAGAAGAAAATATCCAAACCCTTGATGACTTTACAGGCTTCATACAGTTTTCCTCGAGTTCATTTAACTATGGTCGGAACGACAATAATATTTGTAGCAGTAACTTCATTTTTCCTCGACAGTTTCACTGATCAGATCTGTCAGAGATTATGATGATACTTGTCGTGGAAAGAGTTTCTCACGGTCGCTACCTCTTGGAAGTGGCGTTGTTGTAGGTTGCTTCCATCTACAAGCTGCATATCCATTTCGTTATCCCGCATCATCTTTTTTGACACTCATTCCACCAAGGACTCGGACAACACAGAGCAATCATTTCAACAGAGTACTCTGTTTAGAGCTTGCGAAGTTTGAAGACGAAACTTTCAAAAATTAATCCGTTTTTCCTTCTCTTCTGAATGATATTCATTCAACCAGGAGCTGAAAACTCCAGGAAAGTTTCGTCTTAATTGGATAGTCAAGAATGACATCAGACTCATTAGCTTCTATCCGCCTTGTGGTGAAGAATGATACCGCATATAGGTAAGGAATATGCATAATTCATAACATCATTTCATGAAAATTCAAAATGAAAAGTTTCTAGTTCTTCAAAACGCAATTCAAACAGCATTTATTGAACCCAGGGTATAGTTTGTGGAGTTACAAAAGAAAATCTCGATATCCAATTCATTTTTTCTCCTCTTTCCGGACGATATTCGTCTCACGAGGAGTTGAAAACTCCACGACAAGTATCGTCTGACTCTGATGGTCGAAAAGAACTACATCAGGCTTATAAGCATGTATGAGCCTGATGGTGGGGAATGTTAAGTCCCAATAGACACTTCTCGTTCCCCACAACGGATTCAACATCACCCAGAGCATAAGGTGACCCCGTCAATACCGTAAGAGTGCCGTAGGTGGTAGTAAATCACGTTTAGCGCGCTATGTCGATCCATATAGGCTGAGACCACAAATGCTGGACATGCCAACAGCAAATACATTGGTGTCTCAGGCTCCTCACGTCAGGCTCTGCACCTTTTTATAGGAACCTCTATACCTATCACGCGACTGCGGTAGACTATGGTGTTGAAGACACCATTCTGGCAGGCCATGATGAACCCTTCAGTTTTCGACTTCAGTTCACTCAACTTGAGGAAACCAAGTTCATCAGCCGCTTGGGGGCTGCCCTGAAGAGAAATGCTTCAATTCATGCTCTCTTGGTCGCGTACCATGCAGAGAAGGAGATGTGGACACCGGATGCCTCTACAGTATTATCATTATTGTTATCATTATTATTATCATCATCATCTATTATTTCGATTCACCAGTTTCAAGTTGTCAGTCTGAGAAACGAAGTCTTGAACTGTACACATGTTCGTCTAAAATGTTAATGTAATTCATAGCATTGAAATATTCATAGTTATAACTCTCAAAAAATACTATCTTACCCACAATCTATTACACGAATCTATTTTGGCTCTATAGACTGAAATGAGTCCTGAACAATTGAAATCGCCTCGACCGGCAGCATGGAACGACCAGTCAGGGTAAGCCTGGAGAATGGGACTTGAACCTGTATGGGAATTCCTGTGAAAACTGCTGAAGGTTGCAGGAACACCAGCTCGAAGCCTTGGCGTCGCGATGAAGATTCTATCATCAGTTATCTCGATCCCCGTGAATACTGTGTTTTCAGGTCTGCAAAAAGTCATCTGCTTGTGAGAAATTATAAAATGGAAACCTAGTACGGAACGATGTAATATATTTTTTTGACAATTACTCTAGTAGAAAATATAAAAAAATGAAAACGTAAACGTAGATGATGAAAATACATATTTTTGATGAAAATTAATAACGTAGAAACTGAAGAATACCTGACCGATTACACGAAATATGCCGAATTATACAGGCGTTTGTGTAAGTTTATACAAAGAATGCATTTTGCAAATGCTTTTCTATGGTTTGGAAGATCGCTGGAATCAATCTAGTAGCCACCCGAAAGTTAGTTTCGGGTTGTTACTTCTCATCGATGCAATAATATTACTGTCTGGCTAAATGGACTAGTAGATGCTCCACAGGGTGATACGTAACTTGCATCCGAGGCAGAAGTAGCTCAACTGCAGCTGAATAATATTATCTTCATATCGTAAACATAGCTTCACATAAGGAATGAGCAACCTTTGTATCAAAACTTCAACAAAAATCAACTCAGTCTGATGACTGAGTTGAGAAAAAATATATGCCAAAAAAATCCATATTTCGAGAGAAAATATATTTCCTTCCTGAATTTTTGTTATACAGGGTCCTGCAAAAGTGGCGCGGTGTTCCATATCTCTATTTAGGAAACAGATAGGAATCTAAATTTCTATAATAGTACCTTATTACTGAAGCTCGACAAAATAAAAATATTGCCGATCACACAGGGTGTTCAATTTTTTCTGGGCGGATCCCAACTGTGTTTTTTCAAATGGCAACCTATATTTTTTATCGTTTTTTCGGTTTCTACAAAGAAAATAAAAGACACTTTATGCATATCTTCACTTTACGGTTTTCGAGTTATCTAACGTGACAGGTTTTTTTTTCCAATATTCGTCACTCAGAATATTTGAAATTATAAAGTTGTGCAAAGTCCAATTGAATTTTTTTTGGTCAAATATTCTACATTGGTAACTCTCTCAAACGATATGTCTGAAATCTACCTATGATAAACAGGGTATGAAAAAGCACTTGCCACATATTGTAAATAAAAATTTGCAGAATCTTCCTTATTTTAAATGGAACACCCTGTATATTATTGATCCATAAGGAGCGTCAACGAAACTTCTACAAATTTCATTGAGTATTCCCTATGGCTAGGTTCAATTGAAACCCAAAACTAAAATAGAAAAAATCAAATTGAGTAACAATTATATTTTAACAGATAAGGTAGATATCTCTAATAGATTCAACGACTACTACAGTGAACTTGGCCAAACCCTTTCGGAAAAAATAGACCAACCACAAAATTACATTAATGAAAATCACAATGAACCAAACACAATGTACCTATATGAAACATCTGAGGAAGAAGTAAATTTAGTCATAAAAAATCTTAAAAATAAAAAATCTCCGGGATGGGTTAGAAATAGGAAGAACGAACATTTTTCGAAAAAAATGATTTTTTAAGAAAAACCATTGAACCTAGCCATAGGGAATACTCCATGAAATTTGAAGAAGTTTCGTTGGCGCTCCTTATGGATCAATAATATATGGGGTGTTCTATTTGAAATAAGGAAGATTCTGCAAATTTTTATTTACAATATGCGGCAAGCGGTTTTTCATACCCTGTATATCACAGGTCGACTTCAGATATATCTTTTGAGAGAGTTACCAATGTAGAATATTTGACAAAAAAAAATACAATTGGAATTGGCACAACTTTATAATTTCAAATATTCTGAGTGACGAATATTAGAAAAAAACCTGTCATGCTAGATATCTCGAAAACCGTCAATATTTTCGAAGTGAAGTTATACATAAAGTGTCTTTTATTTTCTATGTATAAACCGAAAAAGCAATAAAAAATATAGGTTGCTATTCAAAAAAACACAGTTGGGATCCGCCCAGAAAAAATTGAACACCCTGTGTGACCGCCAATATTTTTATTTTGTCGAGCTCATGCAATGAGGTAATATTATAGAAATTAAGATTCCTATCTATTTCCTAAATTGAGATATGGAACACCGCGCCACTGTTGCAGGACCCTGTATAGCTCTATTCCATTCAGGTATCATCTATCGAAAAAATGTCCAATGTATAGTTCTATAATTATTCTGAACCGTCGATCCCATCTCTTTTGAAGCAGTTCTCAGAATTTCTACTCATGAAAATTCTTCCGTTGGTATACCCAAACTTTTCCTGACGATGTTGATGTTTCTCAGTGAACTATTTACTGATCTGATCTCGTATGATATATTCTGGTAATCCTATAGATGTCTCAAAGCTGAAGTCATAGTAAAGCATACTCAATAGATTCAGTTTTTTTTATTCCCCAATTTCATCAGTGCCTAATCAAGTGTAGTTTGCATTTCCCGTTGGTACAAAAGATCGAGTGGTTGGGTTGAAGAGTGTCCCAAGAGTGATGTGGTTTCCATTGCTCTCATTATTTCCAAACAAGCAATATTTGCACCCTGCCTAGTGTATCAATAACAGACACTTGTTTCATCTCCGCCCACCAAACCAAAGAAGCAACACCATTAGGTATAGTCAATGTATCATGCCTGAATTATCCCGGAAGGTGCATCACTACTATCTTCACCTTTTTCATCCTGTCTGGATATTGGTTCTAGGACAGTCTATAATCTAATAATGAAAAGAGAAATGAAACTTTCTATGTTTTTTACCACTTTCATTTGTAACTGACGTTACTGCAGTTTCGTCCAATACGGACATTTTCAAAATTATATGTATAATAAACTCGTATAGGACGAAACTGCAGTAACGTTAGTTACAAATAAAAGTGGTAAAAAACATAGAAAGTTTCATTTCTCTTTTCATTATGATTTCATACCACGTAGTAACGGCTACATGCCAAATTGAGGTATGGAATGATATTACAGAGTGAGTCGTTGTAAGTGGTGGTTTTATATTTGCGAAAAATTTGTGTCTAGTTTCAAAATGAGCAAGTGACAAGCTGTGGGTTGCTGTAATTTGCAGGGTGATGTCGGCATTCATTTTTGTCGATTTCGAATTGACGAAAAAAAGATATGTTTTTCTATTATTTATTATTAAGATTGAAGTAATGAACATATAACGAAAATCATAAAATAAATTGTTATAGACCATATATTGTAAAGTCATCAATATGCAGACTTTTTATTATGAATTTAATTTGATAAAATTGAACTTTACGAATAGTATATGCCTTCAGTTCCACTGGAAATCCACGAAGAAAAATAATTGTTGAACCACATCAAGTTTTGATTTGTATCTGTAGAAAAACAATTACTTGCACTGAAATCTTTGCAAAACCAAAGTATCAAATAATGTATTTTCAAATAACCTTTTTTTGGGCCTACTTCCCATTTATATGTTCCTGATAATCTACTTTAAATAGCAAATATGTCTTTTCTTAGATTCTGTGATCAATAACAAAAGACATTAGAATTCCATTCGATTGACACACTTCATAATTAGCAAACTAGGCAACCCAAAACCAAGAAATATGTATTTTATATTGAAGTTTTGATTTACAACAATCAACCCAATAATATAAAAAAAATATTTCAAAAAAACGATTCAAAACAAAATGAATTTCTGCAAATGCCTTAGTAGTCATGGCAAAAGGCATACATTTGACCTGGAAACAGCCTGTTGCATACTTTTTTACCAATTCATCCGCATCAATACTGAATATAAAAAATATTGTCATTGAAGCTGTTAGGCAATTATCAAAATTGTATTGAGAGTTAGGGGTATCATTTCAGATTTAGGTTCTAATTTTTATAAACTTATCAGAAAAGATCTCGAAGTGACTGTAGAACAGCCATATTTCTTTGTTGATGAGAAAAAAATATTCTACATCTGCTGAAATGTGGCAGAAACCATTTTTTGATGACTTTTTGAAAGTTGAGGAATATGCAACGAACAGAAGTCATCTTGACATCTTGAACAACTCTACAACTTGGATAAAGAATAGCAATATAGACTAGCACCCAAACTTACTTATTCTCATTTATTTCCAACTAACTTTCAAAGGATGAACGTTAAATTAGCCAGTCAAGTTTTCAGTCATTCGGTAGCTACAGCTATGAATATCTATGCCAGTTTCAACCAGATACCAACGGCTACATTCAATGAAAAAATGAATGAAGTGTTTGATATTTTAAATTCAAATAGATTTGACGGTGTGAAAGATTTTAGAAAATCAAAACAAATTGATTTTCTGAGGCACCAGTCAATCTAATTATTACACTGATGATCTTCAAACAAGACTCAACCTCTGACCGAAGCAAGAAACTCTTTCCACGGTTCGAAATAGATGAACATTTCAATCTAGCAGACCACTATTATAATATTCATGCAGTCATTGTTCAATGTGGTTCTGGCGTTGAATTTGGTCATTATCACGCCTTGGTCAAAGACGAATCGGACTTGTTTAAGTTTGACGATAATCGTGTCACGAAGTGTTCTGGCGATGTATTGAATCTATTGGATGAATTGGTAAAAAAGTATACAACAGGCTGTTTCCAAATCGTATGTATGCCTTTTACCATGACTACTTAGGCATTTGCAGAATTTCATTTTGTTTTGAATCGTTTTTCTGAAATATTTTTTTTTATATTATTGGATTGATTGTTGTAAATCAAAACTTCAATATAAAATACAGATTTCTTGGTTTCGGGTTGCCTAGTTAGCTAATTATGAAGTGTATCAATCGAATGAAATTTTAATGTTTTTTTTTTATTGATGACAGAATCTAAGAAAATACATATTTGCTATTTATAGTAGATTATCTGGAACGTATAAATGGAAAGTAGGCCCCAAAAAAGGTTATTCAAATATACATTTGATACTTCGGTTTTGCAAAGATTTCAGTGGAAGTACCTAATTGTTTTTCTACAGATACAAATCAAAACTTGATGTGATTCAACAATTATTTTTCTTTGTGAATTCCCAGTGGAACTGAGGGGATATACTATTCGTAAAGTTCAATTTCA